TCCATCCCAAATCTATCAGTTAATTACATGTAATATTCCAACCAATGAACAAAATCTAGCTTCTAATTGCTCAATGATTACCATCCATTAAAGTGCCCCTAATTAATAAGCTTAGTGCGATAAGATGTTTGTTCTCCTACAATACTAAAAACTACTAAAAATGGAAAACTGGTGCATGCATGTAGTCACTTTTAGGATAAAGTAGTGCTTTAAGCTTTAACTTATGAAATGTCAAACTGATTTGTCTTCATCTTAAGACAGAACCCACAAATGAAGAAGAAGATTAGCAGACAGGCAAAGACTAGGTAGTAGGAGGCATGTGTAGTGTAGTGTAGGGGCCAACAAAACCTAACGGGTTAATTGCATGAGTGGTCACTGTGATTACAAAAAACGTTCAAGTTTGGTCACTTGAAATATTTAAATCCATTTGTAGTCACTAAAATTAGTAAAACTGTCCAAGTTTGGTCACTCTCCGTTAGTCTCCGTCAGTCTCCGTTAATAACGTCAACTTTTTGATGACGTGGCTAACAGAAAAGTCTAGTCACCAAATTTAACCCCAAAAATTAAAAAATATTATCTGCCACATCAGGTAATTCAGCCCAACCAATGACTCAAACCCTAACCTAACTTATTGACCCGCCATCAACAATCCATCTTTGCCTCTTCCTCTATCTCCGCCGCATCCTCAATCTCTATTCTTCTTCCTCCGCTGCTTTTAAACCCAGTTCTAAAAAATCTCCTCTTTCAATTGGAACCAAATCGAGCCCAAGAGACATGAGTAGATGAAGCGGCCAACGCGATCAGTCTATACTTTACAGATCTGATTGGGGTAGATGATTGGCTCGCCTGAGAAGATGAAGCAGCCAAGGGATCTGAATGAGGAAGATGATTGGCTCGCTGGATCCTCTGCTTCTTTTCGATAATGGAGGGGTAAGAAGAGGGACTAGGCGGCTGGAGTCGGAGGGAGAAGAATAGTGTTGGGGAGAGGATCTCAAGCGACGGGTGGGAGAAGAAATTGAAAGGCAGTTACCCTATTCTGGAGGTGGTGGTCAATTTCATCACAATGACTTCTTCCTTCATCTATGAGTCTCTCCTTCACAACTGGTTTTCATCTATTCCACCTGGGAGAAATAAGAAATTTGATTAATTGGGTATTTGGGTGGATATACAGAGGTAGAGAGGCTGTCAGTGATGGCGAATAGAAAAAAGAGAAGTGGTGTTTAGCCCGGGCTTCAAGGATACAGGAATTCACCGGCATCCCCGCACCGCCCTTCTCCGTCGCGTCCCCTTACTCCCGCCTCGACCTCTTCGCCTCCTCCACCCTCCGGTCTGCCGTCGGACCGACTACATCTTTGATTATGATATTCTATACGCTTGGCTGGTCGGTTCTGTCCAACTTGAGGAAATCCGACCGATTCAAGCACCATTCAGACCTGGTTGTCGAAGGGAATGCAAGAAAAATGAAGAACTAGAGTTCAGATCTGTAAAGGAAAAAGGGATAAACCCTTATTTTGTTTGAGTGGTTGGTTCATGGATGGGTGGGTCGGTTTGGTTCAAGGATTTGGTTGGGTTGGGATGGAAAAAATGACATGGCGGGTCGAATTTCACTATTTTTGGGTTAAATTAGACTGACTAGGCGATTCTGTCTGCCTTGTCAGCACATAACGGTCTTGGTTAACGGAGACTGACGGAGACTAACGGAGAGTGACCAAACTTGGACGGTTTTACTAATTTTAGTGACCATTAATGGATTTAAATATTTTGAATGACCAAACATGAATGTTTTTTGTAATCATAGTGACCAATCATGCAATTAACCCAAAACCTAACCTTTCCCCCTATTTCACTCTTCCTTCAAATAGTACAATAACTAGAGTGAGAGAGAGAGGGAGAGAGGGAGAATCTAGAAGTGAGATATTCAATTCATAATATCTTTGTTGTTCTCTCTATTTCATTGGCTATTAATTCATAGCAAGAAAGAATGAGTTAAGGGTAGTCATTCGAGTGGTCAATGCGAAAGATTCGTCACACGCGATGAAAGAGGACTACCCCATATGAGGTACATGTATGATGTATTGCAGACTTTTATTCAGCATGCTACGTTCCATTTTGCTCCTCGTAGAAAAATAGGGCTGCCCATATCATAATAAAACAAACCATTACATCGTGTAAATTGGTTATTAGCCAATCAATGTTTTCTCCTTTTGCATTATGATCGACCTCATAAAGGTTTTATATATTTCGTATCTATACTAAATACAAACACAAACAAACCCTAATCGAATTGGCATTGACTATTGCCTATTGACAACGATCCATACTACAAGTGGATATAACAAGCTACCACAATACTACCAAAGGTATATACTTGTGTAACTTTCTATCTCGATACATAGCTCCATATGATGTTACCGTACGTGTTGTCATTAGACTTCAGACCGCTATATACAGTTAATTTGATCTCTAGTAAGATTAGGTAAACCATGTCATGTATCGGTCATTTTCTTCCTTATAATATCTAACATTACTTACATTACAAATGATCGTCATGAATGACTCGAATTCGTGAGACATACCTATCTTTTGCAACCGGACAGTTTCGAACACCGAATAACCATCACACAATTTTAACAAATGATATTTATCCCCGTGAGGGCTGGCTAGGGACAAGCCTATTAAGCTAGGGTTTCCATTTTAGACATCGTTTTCCATATGCCTCAAAGTACGGAAACCTCCACTCGACGACGACGGCTTCTATACAAAAATTTGAATGGTTTTGCTTTCGACCAATTAGGGTTTCCATGCAGATGAAACAATGGGTCGCATGTATACAAAAAAAAAAAACCCCCAATAATAGCCTTTCATTAATCTCACAGAAACATAGCTATTCGTTCATCTTTTCACTACAAGAAAAAACATGGCTACTGGCTAGAAGTAGCCCGGCCACCTTGTCCAAAGACCTTTTGTTTTCAGGTGAAAACGAAATGTGCCTCACGAGTTCAATATTTGCATGGCTGTCTAGATCGGTCTGTTTCTTAGCTTGTGGATGTGTGTTGTCGACCAGTTATTTTCAGCCGCAGCCTTATCATTTGTCTCCAAAATATGATTGGTGGCATGTAAACAACTAGCTAGGGGATGGTTTCGGGGTGGCGGGTGGATAGCTCGAAGTTCGTATAGATTCGTCGTTCAGGTTAGGTTAGTATCATAGGACATACGAAGCTGGATAATTAGATCTCGACTCGTTACAACGGACAATTCAAATAGTTCGGTATTTGTACCGGGCAAGATACCCAGTATCGAGCTTATCGTAAATAATGCATATATTTCGTACAACTAAGAGAAGAGAATAATAACATTTCATCTTCAATCGAGTTGAAACCAGGGATTGAAAAACCTCACTGTACTGGCGGGTTGATAAGAAAAACATCATACCGGAAGCAAAACCGGCAGGCGGTATTTAGCGGTATGAAATGGTTAAACCACGGTTTCGGCCAAAAATATCATACGAATGATTTTTTTCTGGTACGACGTCCGGTACGGTGGTTCAATCGTTGGTTGTAACAGGGGCGAACTCGCCTTTCAAATCAAGATTACATATCATAATCATACGAATGAAATTTCAATTTGACATGATGATTTGAAAGGTGGGGAAATATATATAAGCTAGTAGTACTAGTTGGGTGAGTAGTCATTATATCCTTTTTTCGTGTTATTACAACTAACACAAATTTCTTATTACAACTACCCCAAGTTGGTGTAAATTTTGCTGGCAGGCAGCTGCATCTCAACACCAGCAGTACCCTTTAACCCTACAATCTACAGTATCCTCCATTGAATCAAAGGCTGCCACCAGCCACTGGAAAAAAACCACAGTGAAAAACTCTGGGTGCTCGAGAAAGACCAGAGGACCTCACAATCATGGCCCTAACAAGTCAAATGATGATGAACTCTCTTTTTGCTCTTGGTGGGTTTTTTGTTATAAATGAAGGGGTGCCTTTGATTTCTTCAAATTTCTGCAAAGTGGTATTATGTAATGTTGCCATCAAGGATCTCATTAGAAATCATAAGCTTTGTCTGCATATGATATGATGATGTGGTTTGTGTTGGGTGGTTTTTTTTTAACAGTTCAAATTGGACTGTCAAAATAATCAATGCCCATGTGTTTGTTTTGAGTCAAAAAAAAGAAAAGGACAGAGAGCCAAGTTGCAGAGGAGTTGAATGGTCTGAGAGGCTCTGCCTGGAGTGGGAAAGCCCAATTCTTGTCCTCTATTCTTCTGTATTGGCTGAGAAGCTACTTCAAAAGAGAGAGAGGGAGAGAGAGAGAGACCCAATTTGCAGTCTCTCTGTGCCCTACTTTGATACCAAAAAGATTTCAGCTTCATTCAGGCCAACCATTTTGATTTTAAGCCCCTGATGTTTGTTATCTGCTATAGAGGATGAGCATTCTTTCCTTGTGTTTAAGGTGGTATCGAGATATTCGCCTCGGATTGTTTTACCACCCGTTACGTTTACAGAAAACAGATAATAACCCGTTGCATGTAACGTTCTCGTTAACATAGTACAAAAGCCTAATCTCGTGGTTAAACAACGAGGTGAGCAATCATCGCGATGAAATTTGTTAAGCGAAGAGGGGCGGATAGAGGGTATCAATGGCAGGGGCGACAAAAGGCCCTCAGTGGTGTAGAGATTTTGTTGGCAGCCCACACAATCAACAGAGATTTGTCAAAGCTGAAGAGGGAAAAGAAGGAACCTTGTGAGAAGAAGAAAAAAAAAATGTTCCAGGGGACCGTTTGTTATTCGGCTTTTTCCACGAGCCTGAAACTATTCCTCTTACAGGCTTTTAAGCCTGGTTGGCCTGCCTGCCAGCCAAACGGAACCCAAACAAAATTTGTGCAAATCTTCTCTTTCTTCTCTTCACCACTTGCAATTTGCAAGTTGCCATACCACCAGAGCCTCACCTTTTGCTCATTTTATCTCTCTCTCTCTCTCTCTCTCTCTCTCTGCAGGTGTCAGAGCAACTTGCATGGTGCCCTGAAGGCTGAAGAACACCCATTACACCTTCACAACATTAGTTCAAAAAGGAAGGGGGGAAAAAGGACTACTGAAATTTGACTTCTGAGTTGTAATTCCATTCAAGAAAGTGGAGAACAGACAACCAGAAGGAAGGAAGTCTTACTTCACTCACCTGATGGGATCTGGAAGCAACAGTAGTATAGTATACTCGGTGGCGAGGGAGTTCTATCGATACAGCGAACTTTGTTTAATACGATCACCAGGACTCCAGGAGTATCGTATGCTCCAAATTCTGCACCATTTAGAATTAAACGACGTAAAGGAGGAAGAGGAGAAATCCGAAGTTCACTAGGGTTAGGATAAGGAATCCACGCCATGAATTTGGTCCAGTTAACAACGAGGAGACACATGAACTCAAGCCTTCCATTCATAGACTTGACAAAAGAGTAAACATATTCCTTCAAAGAGCAAACGACGCAAAAGAAGTTTAGTAAAATGCACAGCCCTTTTTCCACTCTCCCCCTTTTATATAAGTTCATATATAGCACATAGCAATAAAAACAGCAGCTGTAGTTCGTCAGCCCATCGCGTACTTCTGAGTCCAGCTCTTAGCGGTTGTCTCGTACTTGGCCCTATCGGTCTTGTACATGTGAGCAATCTCTGGCACCAACGGGTCGTCGGGGTTGGGGTCTGTCAACAGTGAACATATAGAGAGCAACACCTGAAAAGAGTACCAGGGAGGAAAAGAAACATGAGCAAGTCTTAACTCTTAACAATGGCAAGGTTGTTGTTAGAGGAAACGAGCCGAGGTTACGTGCAGTCGATCGACCTTTGATATGGTCAAGGCTGGGCTCCACTGCTCCTTCAGAATATCCAGGCAGATACTGCCGTTGCTGTTGATATTGGGGTGGAAGACCTTAGTCCTGAAAGAAACCTGCAGCAGAACGAAGAAGGAAGGATAAAATGTGACAACCGAATCGACAAGGTTTCGCAAAAGGTTGGGAAACATCTGTATATGATAATATATCATGCAACTGGCTAAGAGGTTTTGCAAAGAGAAGAATATGGCAACAAAATCACCCCGTGCTCGAACAAAAAGCATGAATTGAGATTTAACCATCTACCATGTCAAGATTACATCGAAAAAAGAAGGGTATGGATGGAGCATCTCCGTCCCTATGTAGTGTTGCAGAGAGTTGATTATAATAGAAGTTTGCCATCAGATGGTGCAATGGAGTAAACAGAGGAAACCCAGTTCACACTTCACAGTTAATCAGATAACTAGACCCCCACCCTTCACAGGCACTACGAGCAAAGCTCTTACACTAAGAGAATCAGTGAATTCTACATCTGATCTTGCTAAAAACCCACCCTATACAATCACTCATTTCACCAATAAGATCAAACCAACAAAGTACATATAAACCAAATTATAAAAGCGGCAAAAACGTAAGTAATTCAGAACAAGGAGTACCACTTGATAGATTAAAATACCTTAGGTGGCTTGAATGGGTAGTCTGGTGGGAAGTTAATACTGACTAGAAAAACTCCACCAGTGTATGGGCTCTCAGGAGGGCCCATAATTGTTGCTTGCCACTGGAACATGTCTTGGGCAACTGGACCTAAAGTAGCCCAAACCAGAAAAAAGAAACCAGTTCACTATTGGTGAAGATCGAAGATACAGATGAAAATATCAGACTTTCTTCTTCCAAATAGAGGTACTTCATGTATGAACAATTCATGCAATAAAGAAGCGAGCAGATGGAACTGAAAAAGCTCTGAATTCCTTCAGATCCTATAACATTTCTTCCATTAAGGGGTCTCCGGAACAATCTCAGTACACATGGCGCAAGATGATTCCATATATCAAGGATATTACAAACCAAAAGCGAGCAATGATTCAAATTGCCTAAACTTTACCATTTACTATAGCCAGCCAGGTGATACATCTTTCATTACTTATAGAAGACCGATAATATATCACACACAAGACTCACTCAAAGTAATTCCTCTATAAGAATCAAGATATAAGCCTGTTGGTGGAAGAAGGTAGGGAAGAACCTAAGAACTCAAATGAAGGTAGACAACTCCCTAGGCAGATGAACACGTTATCAGAGAACAGAAGTGGTCAGTTGTCCAGTGAGGTAAAGCCTACACGTTTTGGCGATCAACTTCAAATGATCCTTCTCAAAAACTCCTTACCCCCCCCCCCCCCCCCTCCCCCTGCAAAGACGTATTATGAATGCTAGGCTCCCCCTAGCCAGTTACAATTGCTTTTTTGGTAGCCCTACCTAGTTTAAAGGACACGTCCTTGAGTTCCTACCAACCTCCTGAAAGTAATCCACATGCTGCTCGCATCAACTTGCTTGAATAAGAATCAATTACTTCCCTCTACTATTCACTTCCTACTCATTGATCTCAGCCAGTCTCCTTTCTCGAACCATAACAATTTCGAACATTAAGGGAGACAAGGAAACACCACCTAAGCAAACAAACTAAAGAGACCAGCTTATCTGAAGCGCGAATCATACGGGGGGTTAAAGCTAGGACTATCACTACATTGGTGACCTAGCGCTTTTACTTTGCCTCCCAGGATCCACAGTAGTAGCTAGGTTTAGAGCCAGAGCAGTGTGATCAATGACCATCCAGTTCGACAGTACTCTTAGTCCGAAACGATATTTGGATTCTACTCACAGAACTGAACCATACGAGGAAACAAATACCTACGAATTGCCGATAGCAAAGTAGCTCAAAATTCAAGCACCATTATCCATAGAGAAACAAGCAATACAATCCATCCAACTCCAAAGCAGAATTCCAAAACCATCAAGCAACAAAAATCCAGAATTCCAAAACCTAGTTGTCATGCACACACATATAGTAAACTGAATTGCCCCAATACGTAGGCTGAGATTCATCAGCAGGGCTACAACGCCAAGCGCAATTCTAGAAGAATATATCACGATGCTATGATCAAACGAAAATAGAAATAGGAAAAGGAAAAAAGGGAACGATCATGAACCTGCGCTGCAAGAGGAAGGCGGGTCCTTCTGGAGATCCTTGAGCTCCTTCAAGATCCTCTTGGAAGCCATTGTCGAAAGCTAAAGCAGAACTCGAAACGCACAGAAAGAGAGCACGAGTCCCACTCTCTCCACCTTAGCAGCAAACCCTACTAATGAAGTCGGTCACAATCAATTTCAATCCAAACACGAAACTCGAAAATCAACAGTACTGCAGGAGCTAGAAACAGTAGCGTGCCCCCAAAGCAAGATGGACAGAGCGAGAGGAGAGGAACCGAGAAGATTACCGATCGTCAGTGAACTTATAGATTCTGAAGAAGCCAAAACCTAGAGACGAACACGCTTGATATATATAACACTCCACACGGCAACAAACGACGGCCCAAATTACACAATCACTCCCTCTATCGATCACTACAATCATATTACTCCTTAAATTTATTAAATTTCACATTTCAGTCCTTGAGCTTTTTTTATCTAGGCTCTTCTAGTACTAGTAGAGATGCGACTGCAATTTTGACTTGATGTAGAGCAGAGGTGCATTACTTAGCTTCGGGTCATCAAGGGCTTGATGTTACATATGCACTTCAGGCACCTTTTTTCGTTCTATCGATATGTGATTTGACGATATTTATACGAACTAACTTACTATAGATCGTTGTTCATCGAGGAAAAGAAGAGATTTACTAGCTAACATTCACGAATTGACACAATATATTAAGCCTGTCCTTCTCTCAAGTAAAATTTCCATAGGTAGATTCTGATAAGAGATAATGAAAACACAAACAGGAGTGTTCGATTTCAGAGAGAACAGGGCACAGAAGTCTCTGTCTACACAGACATGACCAGTTTCTTCTTTCAAGGTCCCCGTTCATAAGATAAGACAGCAATATCATACTTTTACTTTCATACACAACAATTTTTTCTCTCATGACACAATGGCACAACAGGAAATAAATCTTTGCCTTTCCCAGACAAGGCAGATCGTGCTAGCCCATCGCGTACTTCTGAGTCCAGCTCCTGGCGGTTGTCTCGTACTTGCTCCTATCGGTCTTGTACATGTGGGCAATCTCCGGCACCAATGGGTCGTCGGGGTTGGGATCGCACAGTAGGGAACAGATCGAAAGCAACACCTGCACGAGTCGATTACATGATTCTTTAGTACCGATAAAACACAAATATGATAATACTACTGATCCCTTGGATTTAACGATGGACTTGAGCACTACTGCCAGTGCCAGGGGGGAGTAATGGAAACAAATTCTCACATAAGCCAAAGTAAAGAGCAGAGAACATGTGCACAAGAAAAGCTTGGATCATTTTAGTATTGGTAACAGTTGAGACAATGACCTTGGATATGGTGAGGGCAGGGCTCCATTGCTCCTTCAAAATATCAAGGCAAATGCTACCGTTGCTGTTGATATTGGGGTGGAAGACCTTAGTTCGGAAAGCAACCTGCACAAGTTCATCCATTACAGCAGGATGATAATTAGCAGATTCCCCCAAACAGTAGAAAACACGTAGAGTGACTACTAAAATATCAGTATCATGAAATCAGACAGCATCATACAGAGGAACAAAACGGGTCATACTGCTTGAACTTTCTGCTGTAAAGCGATGAAAAAGGACAAGAATAAGATTAACTTAGCAATGTGTCGATATACAAACAGGTCCAGTCAAGCACCTTTGGCGGTTTGAATGGATAGTCTGGTGGGAAATGAATACTGACTAGAAACACACCACCGGAATAGGGACTATCTGAAGGACCCATGATTGTTGCTTGCCAATGGAACATGTCTTCAGCAACAGGACCTGCACGCCATGATTACCCAGCCAGAGATAAGACAAAATGTTTCAAATCACTTCACAAAGTTCTTTCTTATATGTATGCAACTGTCAAATTACTGAGATGCGAACTTCCTGGCTGGAAGCAGTGGGAGGTCAAGGCAACTACATCAGACAGCATTTTACTGCCTTCAAGTGGAAAATAAGCAGAGACCAAGAACTTGATTTAACCACATAAATGATATCCCTGTAGCAGATGCTACAGCGAGGACTTAAAAGCCACACAATCCCTCATTATGTCACAGATAGATCACTATGAAAACATATATTATCTTGCTTTCCATCAAATTGCAGTATCTCATTTCTCAATCATCAAAATTCAGAGCAAAATGAAAACTTTCTACCCAAAAAAACAAGAGCAAAATGAAAACCCACTACACCTTCCATCTCCAACTGCAATCAATCCCTCCCACTCAGCTAAGTATCTCATTTCTCAATCATCAAAATTCAGAGCAAAATGAAAACCCACTACACCTTTCTATCTCCACCAACAATCAATCCCTCCCACACAGCTGAAAGATCGTTCTAAGAATCCTCAATCCCTACTTACCACAATACAAATCTCTCAAAACCCCTAAGTATCATTCTCACCCACACAAATCGACAATACAAGCAAATAGATCTGTGAAAGGCGCTGGAAGAATCGAACTCAGACCTGCGCTGCACGAGGTAGGAGGATCCTTCTGCAGATCCTTGAGCTCCTTCAAGATCCGCTTCGACGCCATCGCCCCCGAACCAAATGAAAAAAACGAAACCCTAGACCGTTCTGAGCTTCCCTTCTACCAAATTCAAAAAATCAGCGCAAAATTGATTACAAACAACAGCAATCGAAGAGAACCTAAGCATAGCAGACGAAGGAAGGAAAGAGAGAGAGAGAGAGAGAGGCGCACCTGAGCTGAGAGCGATCCTCGGCCGGTTACGGTTTCGTGTGTTCTGCTGGCAGCGCGAAACGGGGGGAAGGAGAAACCAAGAAGAAAATCGTTTCTGATTATTTGTTGTTGTTGGTCAGCGAAATTGTGGAAGAGAAGAGAGAGAGATGGGATTTTATTTTATACGGTCAGGACCAGGTCTCTTCTACTGTGTTCCCTAGCTCCTGATTGGTTCCCTTTTTTTTTCTTCTTAGATATTATCACTCTTCTCCTTTGCTTTATTTTTTCTTTTCCTTCTGTTTTGATTATAGTAATTGATTAGTTGTTAGGTATTGATATTTTGATGATCACATGAGATTCTTTCTCATCATTAACATGAATCTATTTTTGTTGACAATTTGACGAATTGTTTGTTCTATAAATATGCTCTCACGAAATGAATTGTTTACATTATGATTAAGATGGTTCCGATTCCCACCATAAGATCAATACAATTTCAAAATAAATAAAATTTTCGTAAATGAATTGCAAGCACTATAACCAGGTTGGATCAGGTTCTCACAAGAAAGACAGACAGTTTCAAGATAATGAATTAAAACAGGGCCTAAATTTCCAAAAGTAGACATTTCAATTCACTTCTTTTTTTTTTTTTTTTTTGTTAATGATGATATATATTAAATAGACAATTACAAGGAAAAGGAACAAGGAAGATTACAGAGGCCAAGCTAGTGAGGCCAGAGAAGGGGCTCGAATTCCAGAATCCAAGCCAGAGGGGTTCCCAAGGAAAGCCCCCACACCTGCTTGGTTTTACATTCTGCCTATCGCACTGGCTAGCAACATGAACAAGAAATGACATCAACCCCAATCCCGCATCTAAACCGGGTATTCTGTTTCCAGGCACAGTAAGAAGCCGACACCAAAAGACAGACAAGAGCAGGTGAGTATTAGGATTCAGTTTCAAAATAGTGCTTTTCAACAAAAGATCCAAACTTTGAGAACCATCAGTGCTAAAACATAATGAGCAAATGACAAATTTGACAGCAACATTGATCAAAATTCACATGGAAGTGTCAAACAAGGCATTCATTCAACACTCAACTAAATCAATCAGAATCATCAAGGGCTTACAACAGACTTGTGAAAACAAAACCGAAAAGACAATGAACAATGGACTACAACAGACTTCATACATCAATCATGTTCATGATCCCGGTGGTGAAGTTGCAGCAAGAGCCGGTACTGGTGTAGAAGCCATCTGTGGAGTTGAAGTTCCCGTCGATCCCCGGTTCTCGGTATCCCTGCCTCGAACGCCCTCCACCAGCTTCACAACCTCGCCCATCTTCGGCCTCTGATCAGGAACCCTCACCACGCAGGACATCGCGATCTGCAGCATCTCGACCATCTCTTCCTCGATGTTCGGATACCTCAGCAGCTCCACATCGAACACCTCGGCGGTCCACTCCTCTCGCACCACCGAGTGAACCCACCTCACCAAATGCATGATCTCGTCCCCACCCGTGGTGTGAATCGGGGACTTCCCTGTCAGAAGCTCGAGCAGGACCACCCCGAAGCTGTAGACATCAGAAGGTTGAGTTGCTTTCCTCGTGTCTGTCACCTCCGGTGCACGGTAGCCAGCTGCTCGTGAGATCGGTGCAGACAGTGAGCTCATCACCGCTGATAAGCCAACGTCGGAGATGCATCCGTAGCCCGTGGTGGGGTTCAGGAATATGTTGGAGGACTTGATGTTGCCATGGACGAATTTCCCTCCGTTTGCTTGGTGAACACGCGAGATTCCTCGTGCTGCACCTATGGCGATCTGCATTCTTGTTTCCCAGTCTAGTGGCACCCTCTCGTGCCCTCTTTTGGCTGCAAGGTAAACAGCTTATGTCAGTCGTTGGATCATGATTATCTACTACAACAATGGAACTTTTGAATACTACTAGTCACTTTTGATTCACCAACATAGTCTGATTCAATACAAGGTTTGATTCACAAACAGTGGAAGTGATGAATTTGGAGGTGATTAATGTACCAAAAAAAATCATCGGCTTGATGGATTTATAAATCATGGCTAAAGATCCATCAATCCACTTACACTTATAATCGCGATTTCATGATCCACATACCTTAATTTACAAAAATTTCTCAGCTAGATTTCAGCCCTAAATGCATCTTATTTCATGATCAATCATTAACGAAATCTACCAGCCAAACAAAAGCTCCCAAGAAAAAGCATAATTTAGCAAGCCAAAGCATCAAATAGTACTAATCAAGGCAGGTAAAACAATGAAATAAAGACTGCTGAGGTAAACCACAGGGAGTAGAGCAAAGCATTACCATGAAGCATAGCTGAGACACTTCCGCGGCAGTAATAATCACACACCATGAGCTTCTCATCCTTGGAGAAGAAATATGCCTTGAGCTCAACCACATTCTCGTGCCTAATCCCACCGACGATATCCATCTGCTGCTCGAAATCTCTTTTCCCAGCACTCACTTCCTTCAACCTCTTCACCACCACTGTTGTAGCATCCTCCAATATTGCCTTATAAGCCATCCCAAACGTGCCCTTCCCTAGAACCTCAGCTGAAGCTCTCAACAGGTCTTCCAAATCGAATGCATAGTTACATCCATCGAAGAATGCCAACTTATTGCTCGCATCCTGGCTCCTCGACACCATCTTCTCAGGGGACATTCCACCCTTCTGCAACTTCGTAGAAATCGAATACTCATATTTACCACTTCCTTTCTTCCTCGAGCAACAGAAAATGAGCATTAGAGCAAAAGCCACCAATACCAACACACCAACAGCAACTACAATCCCTAGCAATGCTGCTTCGCTGAGTCGCTTCCCCGGTTTAGAAGCAGGAAGAACCAAATCTGGTGGTGTTGTAGAAAATGGAGATGAATGTGGAGTGAAACCACCTCCTCCAGTCGAAACGTTGCTGTTACCAGCAAACACTGAGATTGGGAACCTTCGGAGCGAATTAGGGATTGCACCAGACAGATAATTGTAGGACAAGTTAACCTGCTGCAGAGCTGGTGAACCAAGGTCAGGGATTTCACCGGAGAGCGAATTGTTCTCGAGATTCAAAGTAGCGAGTCGAGTCAATTGCGACAGCGAGCTAGGGATACTGCCATTAAACCTATTGTTGGAGAAATTCACAATGGTGAGGTTGCTCCACAAAGTGAAATCAGCTGGCAACGACCCAGATAAGCTGTTGTATTGCAAGTAGAGAAAAGACAAGTTCTTTAGAGTGTAGAGATCAGAAGGGAACTCCCCAGTGATCCCATTGGATCTAAGGCTCAAAACCTGCAACGCCGAGAGACGGCTGAGAGTGTTCGGAGGTATGGGGCCTTGGAAACCGACGCCGGGAAGTCTCACGGAGATCACTCGAGAGCCATCTTCGTTGCAGGCGATTCCTGTCCAGTCGGTGCAGAGAGAAGAGCTCTGGTTCCAGTTCAATGCTCTTGAGTGGTGGAATTTGGCGACGAAGTCTAGTAAAGCTTGCTTATCTTCAACTGGGTCTGCGTTTGCTCCCAATAGAATGAAGCCCACCACGTAGAACAGAACGATAGCCTTATTAGCTACTTCCATTGGAGAGGAATTTTTTTGGAGAAGCCGAAAAAACGAGCTGTTTTCTGCAGCTTCTTCTTTCCCGCAGTTCCCCTGCAACAAGAATGGATTTTAGGCCGAGGTGGAAACAACTACAAATACAGTACAAAAAGGGAGGAGAAAAAGGGAAAGATCCCAAATTTGAACACAGAATGAGAAGTAAAGGAACAAAGGAAAGGGAGATTCCAAGATAAATGTCGACAAAAGGAGAGGCTTAAAACACTCTCTATCACTCTGTGCTGGTGTTTCGAAAACAGCAAAGGATGAAGCTTTTCTGGTTGCAGGATTTGAATAATAAATGGGTCAAAAGAGAAAAGATGAGAATTTTGTATTTCAAAAAAATCTCTCTGTGTATCCTTCTTCTATAACCACACCAGGAATCGAGGCTTCTCTCTTTTTGTTCCTTCTTCCTTCCATGGCCTGCTCCTTTTCTTTACTTCTCCACTTTCATGCCTAAACTAGTGCTCAAAAGAAGAGATTATCTGATTACTTACTAAACTCTCTTGTTCAGATCTGAAAGCGAACAAGTAAAAACAAAACAAAATCCAGCTCAAAATTGGAGTTGAACCGACGCAAACTAATTAGCAAGGGTCAAGGGATTAAGCTGATAAACTGTACAAACAACAGCGCTCAAAGTTGTCAGGAATCGTTTTGGATTTTGAAAGGAGAATAAAAGAACAGAGAGAGAGAGAGGCAAATTTGTCACACGCCATTAAAATACTCAGAAAAGCTACCTGGAAGTGAAGAGCCCGTTAAAAAGGAAAGGGGGAAAAAAAAACAAAATGCTCAAACCCAAAGTGGAAGTTGCATGATTGCTCATGCCACATTCACATTTCACCCACCAACACTTCTGCTCATTGCATTTCAGAACCCGAATTGGAAAATAATTAAGGGAAACAGAGAGATGGCGAGAGAAAGAGAAGGAACGTGGGGAAAAGAAATAGTCGGTGAGACATACAAATAGTGATGATTAGCTGGTGAGTGGGAACTGGGAAGTGGGGAAACTGTTCCGAAAAAGTTAGTCTCCTAACTGATGTCTTTGTTAGGAGATGCTAACACGGTTTGGATTTTGTCCACGTAGGCCCAGCTGAGATCCAACGGAGGGGATAGATGGGCTCATTTAAGTGGGATTTTGTGGGTTTTTTAGCCCAGCCGAGAAAGGAGAGGGAGCTGATGGGTGGCGGCTCGGTGGGGACCAGTTGTCAAGGGCGGGAGAAAGGGAAAGAAAGGGAGAGGGTGGGTGATTTATTTGGGGAAATGATTAAAATGGGGGAGAGAAGCTGAAAAAGTGGCTTCTGCGGGTCCACCAAGAAGCTGATTAATTGGAGAGAGGAGAGAAATGACGAAAAAATATAAAGAAAAGTGATAAATAATTGGAGAGAGGAGAGAAGTGACAGAAAAGAAAAAAAAAAGGAAAAAGTAATTGCAAGAAAGAGAGAAGTGACGAAAAAGTGGGGGAAAGAGAGTGATTGGGGGAATTTATTTTTGGACCACTTCTTTTCTCTCTCAACCTCTCTCATTTTTTTTTTTGTGTGTGGATATTTATCCATGGGCTGAAGGATATCAAGTTTATATGGTCAGATATTAGTCTGGGCGGTATGGATATTTATTTTTGAATGAACTGATATTATATGCAGTGGATATTAGTTTGTGAAGTAATGAATATTGTGTCTTCCATCAAAATTAAACACACTATCAAGTCCTAACACATAAGGCTTGCAACCTTAGTTAGGGCTGCCCGCCGAGGGCCCATGGGCCGAAGGCCCATGAAACAATAATAGTAGGAGAGTGATGGTTTAGGGTTTATGATTTAGTGATTAGTCTTGTAGTCGGATATTAAACTCGGTGGTGTTTGTCTTTGTTTTTGCAAAGAATGGGTATTAGTTTAGGTGGTTCGGATATTAGCTTTTGGTTTGAGATATTAGTTCATGTTTTCAACTATTTGTCTGGGATGTTTGGATATTTGTTTTCTCATTAACTGATATTAGTCTGTTGATATTAGTTCATTGTCAATTTTATTACTTTTGGTATTAGTTTGCGATTGTTAGATATTAGTCTATGTGCGGTGGGTATTAGTCTGCGATTGTCAGATATTTGTCTGTGTGTGGTGGGTATTAGTCTGTATGGTGAGGATATTATTTACGATCTGAATGTATATTGGTCTTAGGCGATGAGATATTGGTCCGGGTGTTGTGGGTATTTGTTATGGTGAACAGATATTATTCTAGGTGGTTTGGATTTGTTTTGTATGGATGTTTATCTGTGTTTGTTTTGAAATTTAGTTTAATAAGCGATTAAGGTTTAGAGTTTATGTGTAATTGGTATTAGTTTGTGATGTTCAAATATTAATCTGTGTGTGGTGGGTATTAGGGTTCAGGGTTCAAGCTTTGTGTTTAGTGTTTAGGGTTAGGGTTTCAGGTACAGGGTTTGAGTTTTGGTTTCGGGTTTAGAAGACGATATTGTGGAAATGGTTTTGAAAACAATGTAGGGTGGTTCGATTTTTGTCTGTGGTGATAAGATATTATTATGTGATTGGAGGATATTAGTATGAGATGTATGGATATTAGTCTGCGATGGTCAGATATTTGTCTGTGTGTGGTGGGTATTAGTCTGTATGGTGAGGATATTATTTACGATCTGAATGTATATTGGTCTTAGGCGATGAGATATTGGTCCGGGTGTTGTGGGTATTTGTTATGGTGAACGGATATTATTCTAGGTGGTTTGGATTTGTTTTGTATGGATGTTTATCTGTGTTTGTTTTGAAATTTAGTTTAATAAGCGATTAAGGTTTAGAGTTTATGTGTAATTGGTATTAGTTTGTGATGTTCAGATATTAATCTGTGTGTGGTGGGTATTAGGGTTCAGGGTTCAAACTTTGTGTTTAGGGTTAGGGTTTCAGGTACAGGGTTCGAGTTTTGGTTTCGGGTTTAGAAGACGATATTGTGGAAATGGTTTTGAACATAATGTAGGGTGGTTCGATTTTTGTCTGTGGTTTTTGAGAATTTATGTTGGTAATTATATACAACATTTAACAAAATATTATCCATTTTGCTACAAACCAACATCTTTCCCTATATATTATCTAACCCTAAGTTCAGTTTTACAAATCTAAAATAAACTTTTCTTCCTTTTCCCTCATCGTCTTGGTCATCACTTTCTTCATCCTCAATTTCTTGATCCTCATTTTGTTGTTGTTGTTTGGCACATTTAGGCCTAAAGGTTTCGCCTTCTGATGTGGTCCTCATTGCAGTTGATTTAGTTCTTGTCATTATGATTTCCCTGCCCAGTAGAATATCCTGACATTAGCTAATCAATAGCTGGACTCCACATAACGAATACCCTAACGATCAGAAGTAATATCAAACAAGTCATATCCAAATATATCAAACAATTATCCAGGCAATTCACAAAAGATATCATGGTCGACCAAAACCAATATCAATGTAGGAATATCCAGATATATCAAACAACTATCCATGCAATCAAAAACTGATATCCTGCCCGAAAAGAACTAATATCGGAACGCACACAAAACATATCCACAAAACCCAAAAAACAAAGCAACCCGGATCTAATCAAATCCACAAACAAAGCAACCCAAACCCAGATCCAGTCACATCCACAAACCCAGAAAACATATCCGCTTAATCCAAATATATCAAACAACTATCTAGGCAATTCACAAATGATATCATGGTCAACCAAAAACAATATCAATGTAAGAATATCCAGATATATCAAACTACTATCCAGGCAATTAAAAACTGATATCCTGCCCGAACAAAACTAATATCGGAACGCACACAAAACATATCCACAAAACCCAGAAAACAAAGCAACCCAGATCCAATCAAATCCACAAAATCCATAAACAAAGCAACCCAGACCCATATCCAGTCACATCCACAAACCCAGAAACACATATCCACATAATCCACAAAAGAAAGCAACCCAAATCCAGTCAAATCTAAGTTACCAGAAAACAAATCCATCAAACTCATACAAAAAACGCAGAAAAAGAAAAACCCAGATCTAGTAAAAACCATGAAACCTTAACTTCAAAAAACGCAGAAAAAGAAAAACCCAGATCTAGTAAAAAGACAAATACCCAGATCCAATAAAACAACTATCCAGGAAAGTGAAAACTGATATCATGCTCGATGAAAACCAATATCAATACAAACAGAACTAATATCGGCACAAACAGAACTAATATCGACACGAACTAAACTAATATCGGCACAAACAGAACTAAATATCGACACAAACAGAAAGCCATTCCACAAAACCCAGAAATAAAACCCACAGAAGAACGAATCATGTAACCCTAACTCAAATCTGTCCAATCGAAAACTAATATCCACAAAACTATGCTTGAAACCTTACTTGATCAAGAACCCGAGTTCCCTGCAAAGCGCCGCCGCCGAGATCGATGTTTCGTCGCCGCCGACAAGATCGTTGCCGCCGAGTTCGCTGCAAGGTCGCCGCCGCCGAGATCTCCGAGTTCGCTGTAAGGTCGCCGCCGCCGAGAACGCCGGGTTTGCTGCTTCGTCGTGGCCGCCGAGATCTCTGCCGCCGAGTTCGTGGCCGCCGAGTTTGCTGCACCGCGGCCGTTCGTCTGCGTTTGGGAGAGGAGGAAAGGGAGAGGAAAGGGAGAGAGAAAGGGAGAGAGAGGAGGGGAAAACCAAATGGGCGGAGAAGTGAAAAGGGGTAGGTTTAGGGTTTTTTTGTTTTGTTTTTGAATTAGTGGGCCCGACGGGCCCCGCAAGCCGCTGTGGGCTTTGCCCAGCCGATGAAATCGGCTCATTCTCTCCTCCACCGATGGATGCAGCCTTGGCGACGTGGAGGCCGATCCGCCCCTGTTAGCATCTCCTAACAAGTGGCCTTGTTAGGAGCATAACTAGATTGTAAACTGTTCTCCCTGATTAGCTCCAGCTGCGAAAAGGGGAAACGACGAATTTTTCCCGAGAAAGTGAAGGAATTTTTATCTAGTTTTCTGGCTATGGAGTAGTTTGTAATAACCAATAGCCAGAGCCCAGAGATGGGATTGTTGCAGCCAGTTCAAGCAGGCAATAATGGCGGTTCAGTTAAACCTCTGTAACTGAAAGAAGCGAGCTCTAACGGATGAGAGCTTTGGAAGAAGGAGAAACAGAGTCTGAGCAACAGTGCGAGAGAGAGAGAGACGATGCGAGTTGGAGTCTGGGCCTTTCGGGCCGGATCCTGGCTGGCCCAATGGGCTTGGAGAAAGAAACATTTGGAGCCCAAAAAATTAAAGAATTAAAACTTTGTTGTTAATCTCTGTAATCAGGATCATATCCATACTGTATTTGTATATAGTATATATACACTTACAATTAGGCCAAAAGAACACAGCAACAATCATAATCTTCACTTCTCTCTCTATCTTCTACAGTAGCAGACCCCTAAAATTGGTCATAATGCCACACACCATTGTACAAAGAATGGTCAAAGTCTTTGTCAAATATTAGGGTCTGTTTTATCTGTTTGGCCATCTCTGTCCATATCTGCATTCTTTACTTGTTTGAATCAGATAAAGAAGGTTACTATATATGAGTTTCTGATGGTGACCACCATTGCAGCAATCAACTTGAAGGGATGAGGGAGAGTTCTAAACGGCCGGTCCATTCCTCACCGGGCTTCAACGTGATTGGCTTCTCGATCGCAGCTCCATCAACACACAGCATCTGCTTGTACTCTTCGTCGCCGAGATCTGCCATTGCCTTTGCTTTCTTCTCCCATGGGTTCCACACCACTGCAGATTTTGACAGAATGATGAGTTATATTGTATTCTTACAGTTCCCACTAGAAGATGCACGATTTCTTGGAATGCAAGTATCCTGCCATGTCTAACAAACCAGCTTTCAACTGTAGCAGGAAGGAGTTGGGAATTTTACAGGGAAGAAGGATGGTTGAAAATACTTGAAATTCTTTGCAACTTCAGGAAGCAAAAAGGAAAGGAAGAAGTGGGTGGGGGAAATAGACTGTTTTACCAACATCAGGGAGCCCTTTCTTTCTGATTTGAAATGTTCTCTTGCTCTGGTGATCAAACACAGAAATAACATCTGATGAACTCAGATAAACCCGGTCCACCTAGAGAGCATAATTGAAAGAAGGGAATTCAGAAGTCAGTTCCCAGTATCGAATCCACAAGTCCACATATTCTACCAAAACAAATAAGGAAAGAAAGATTATAGATTGGAAGTAGTGAAGGACCAAAGAGTATTACCTCGGATTCAAAAGTCAAGGTGTCTCCTTGTTCTGTGAATCGTTCCCTTCGAAGAAGGTTGTCGAGGTAATCAAGAGTTTCCAATCCTTCCACCCTCACTTCACTGTCACCAGAAGGCAAAAATGGTTCTCAGTTCATTTTGGAAACCATTGGATTGGAGGAGATGATATGCTGCAGCAATCCGCAAACTTACTTGATGTCTGAAATGGAGAGATAGGTGTGGTATGCAATGGAGAAACTGAAAGGCTTGCAGTTGATGTTCCTGATGCGCGAAACCATGGCTAGGTTCCCTTCTGCTGTTATTGCTACCCTTAGGCGGAACTCGAAGCTGAAAGTTCCACAACATACAAATCATCAAAGCCATATCCTGTTGACGGGTTGTTCATATTTATCAAGAAAAGCTTCAATCTTTCTTATTGGTTCTTGTTACCTGTGTGGCCACATCTTGAGATCATCTTCAGATGGCTTCAGGAGCAAATCAACGAAGGATTTGCCATAGGAATCATTGGGATGTAATGGCGGTGGGTTGCCATCGACTACCCACAGTTTCTTCCTAGCAAATCCATGTTGCTCCAAAGCTCCTCGATTGCCAAACTACAGAAACACATTGGAATTTCAGGCTCCAATTCATGTTACTGATAGATTGGTAATAAGTAATAACTTCTTTTCAGAAATGTTATGCAATGAAAGTGAAGAACCTGAGGGAAGCATATTGGGATTCCTCCTCTAACTGGATTGGGTGGCTTGAATATTGCCTGCAACCAAACATCAACTTTTAGCAACAGACAATTCCAAAAGATGGCTTTCAAAAGAAAATAACCCCCAATCTGATTGTGATTCATCATCACCTTGCTGCTAGTGAAGAGAAGTTCTTCTCCTTGGTCAGTTCTCCAGGAAAGAACCTGTCCTCCATACAAGCTCACCTGTGAATAGAGGTTTTCCACCCCAACTAAAGAATATTAACAAACACTAACTGTTGTAGAAGAGAACAACAAGGGAAAGAACAGAACAAAGGTAGTAATGAGTAATGACCAACCCTTGTTGAGGCTCCTCGAGGGTTGCGAAGTAGAATCTCCTCAATCCCATTTCTATCCCTGGTAACTTCAACTACTCCAGAATAATCCATGGAGCAAAGAAGAACCGAGATGGAAAACAAAGGAGAGAAGACCAAAAACAAACTTCCCTTCTTTCTTCTATGTTCCTAGACTTCCATTGCTCGCTGTTATATACTACCCAGAAGACCGGATTGCTTCAACCAGATAAATCTATGCTAAAGGTTGGATCTTTTCCTTCCACAAGTTACCCCCCTTTTCCTGCTTTTACTTCTCCGCAGCACTTCTCTTGTGAGAAAGAGAAACAAAAAAAGGCGGAAGAAAGAAACAACGAACTTGTGCGACTTCCCGTGACGAGCAAACCTGCAAAATCTCCGAGTAATCACCGATCTCTCAACTACCCATTACTTAAAGGTCTCTACTTCACATCTAATTTTCTCTCTATACTTAAGTTCCCTGCAGTCTGCACTCCGTATATCTACGAACCGAACGAGTCGACTCAGGTGGGAAACAGAGACCAAATCCACTCACAATCTGGAACCCAGATGACCAACAGAAAGAAACGGCTTCTAACTTCCCGGCCATTGACAGCAGCCCTGAATCGAACCATTTATGGAGAGACGGGGGAGCAGAGAAGTTTGAAAAGGGGACGAAAAGAACGAAAAGGGGCGGAATCGGTGGGTCGAGTCAAAATTGGATCACAAGCACGCATGTGTCGTATAAACAAACTTTGCTTTTTGATTTCCCTCACTGTTCTGAAGAAGTCAGGGATGGAAGCCATTTGTGATTTATCCACAACTTGGTACGAGCTTTGAATTGAATAATAAGATCAAACAGAGGGTGGGGACTGGGGAGGGGAAATAGGAAATGGGATTGAAGAAAGGTCAGTTACATTGAAAGGTGGTATCTCAGATTCCACACACTTCCCCCCCACAAAATTAAGAATGGATAATTTGTGAAGTTTCATGGCGATAGAGACGGTTCTTAATTGGCAAGGTTTAGTTTTAGTTGACTGCTAGATTTGTTCCCCTTTTTGTTAGCGAACCTCTGCCAAACCCATTCAGCTTTCAGTTTGTACATGTTGGAAATACAATTTCTTGTACTGAACCATTATTTTTAAATTGGGGATCGTCATGGGGATTCGAAACCAAGACCTTTCGATTCTAGGCTGTAATACCATATTAGCGAACTAATCACTTGATTCCAATAACTCGAATTGTTGGGAAAGAGATAGTTAAGCCTTTTAACCTCTTATACTTTTTTTTAATGATTATTTGAGATTGGATACACGTAAACGAGTGGCATTGTCAGTAGCTCGAGATCTTTCAGACCCAAAAGGTAGTTTAACGATAAGCGTTTGGAGAAAGAAATGGACTCCAATAAATGCACTGGAAGAGAAAAGTTGCGATTGAAATGGTCGAGTTTAGAAAGAGATTTAGTTTCGTAACTATTTTCAGTTATTTTTGTAACTATTTGGTTGTGATGAGATTAGGTTCGTAACTATTTACCACTCGAATTTTGTCAAAAAGTATTGGTACGAGATTAGGGTACTCCCCCAATCGTACCCATTACAATTGGAGAATGGAGAGGAACGGGGGAGTGTGGACCGGACGTGGAAGCCCAGGCCCATTGTGGAAGAGGGTTAAGAGTCTGGGCCTCGAGCATGAATAGCCACCGAGTGCCTTCATTTACGATCCAGCCCAAACTGATAGACCGGCCCGCTTTTCCTAATGAGCAAGTGACAACGATGAACGATGAATATACCCCAATTAAAAATAAAAAATGAAATAACCCAGGACTGTGAGAAAAGATTGAACTGATTGCTAGTCAGATCACGCACGGGTTCTATAAACTCTCCATCCACACACACAGTCTTCTTCTCCTCTCTCATCGCTTCCGATCGCGAAGGTCCCCCAATCCATCGGCGCTTTCTCTCCGATCCCTTCTGTCGATCACTATCTCCGGCGAGAGAAGCAACCATGAACGACGCCGATGTCCCTAAGCAGATCCAGCAGATGTGCCGATTCATTCGGCAAGAAGCCGAGGAGAAGGCCAATGAGATCTCCGTCTCTGCTGAAGAGGTACGCCCCCTCAATTCTCGGCTCTGTGCTTCTCTTTTTGTTTTCCGGCGATTCATTTTGATTCCCCAGAGTTTGGAAGCTGGTCCGATCGTTGGTTTCCTGGGATTTTGGATTTGATTGATCTGTGCTCTGCGAATGCTGTAATTTGAGATGATCAATTTTGTTGCTTTTGTTGCAGGAATTCAACATCGAGAAGTTGCAGCTGTTAGAAGCGGAGAAGAAGAAGATCAGGCAGGAGTATGAGCGTAAGGAGAAGCAAGTCGACGTTCGTAAGAAGATGTGAGTTTCTCTGCCTGATTCCAACTCTTATAACACTGGGTGAAATGTTTGAACTGCTGCGTTGAATGTGAATCTGGTGAAGAATGGAATAAATGGATTCCATGGTTCTTTTTTCTGTTAAGAATTGGTTCCTAATTGCCTTCCACTTGGTCTGCTTGTGATCCCTTTGCTTACTGAAGTTTGAGGAGGGGTTAGCTGTGTTAAATGGGCTTATCATTTTCTTTTGGCAGTGAGTACTCGATGCAGCTTAATGCCTCTCGGATCAAAGTTCTTCAGGCCCAAGATGATGTGGTCAATTCCATGAAAGAGTCAGCAGCTAAGGATCTTCTGAACGTGTGCCGGGATGATTATAAGTACAAGAAGCTTCTGCAGGATCTCATAGTTCAGGTGAGCAATACTTGCTCTGTCATACCAGGTTATGTGAGAGGATCAGAAAGGATTATTAGGACCGAAAGGTTAAGTTTTTATAACGAATAACTCATCTGTTTGAAGTATCAACATCTTGTGAATGTTTATTGAATGTGATCATAAACCTATCTTGTTGCTGATGTATTACCATATACGGGGTTGCTTTCCTTGGTGCTTCTGGAGAAAATTTCACCCACATATAGCCTATAGGGTCACATAAGCGTTTACTTTTTCTCCTGTTCTGATTTTGTTATGCAACTTTTTGGCTGGTTCCAGAGCTTGCTTAGACTGAAGGAACCTGCTGTCTTGCTGCGTTGCCGGGAGGCGGACGTCAATCTGGTGGAATCTGTCTTGGATTCCGCTAAAGAGGAATATGCTGAAAAGGCGCAGGTTCATGCACCAGAAATTTTGTTGGACCATCAAATCTATCTGCCACCTGCTCCTAGCCACCACAATGTTCATGCTCTTTCTTGGTAAGTTTATGGCTAACATTAAATTAGTAGTATGGTAGTGGTTTTATTTAGTGGTGTGTACATATTGTTAACTATTTAGGGATCAATCAATCCTTTATCCTGATAACTTTCTGTGGCTGGACTTTAGAGCTCATAGTCTTTCTTTATGATGTGAAATAATAAACTGTATGTGTTTTCTGGCTTAGCTCTGGAGGTGTGGTCCTGGCGTCTCGAGATGGGAAGATTGTGTTTGAGAATACCCTTGATGCACGTTTGGACGTTGTGTTCCGTCAGAAGCTCCCCGTGGTATGAACACCATTATTCTCTCTATTGTTATACTCTCCATTGTTCCAAAAGAAAGTTGGCACTTTTATGTTTGGTAGAGAAACTAATCAGGATTAGTTGAGTTCTTTTTTTCCTTTTTGATTTAGGATTGGTAGAGTTTTAGAAGAAGTAGAATTGATGGCTATGAAATATTTTCAGCAATGAAATATTAACTAATAGGATGGTAGTATTAAACAATAATAAAAAAATCAATTAGCAGGCTTTGGGCAGTAACTATTATAGGTATCTGCTGGTGAGGTGACTTTGGGATTTGAATCGTTGTTCTAAAAAGTTGGATGAAAAGTGCATATGTTTCATTAGCGAAATCAACCTTTTTCGATTGATCTGTTTTTAGGCCCGAAACAAAACAGTTTCATGCTTTTGTTTTGGGAAGATAAGAATTTTGTTCATGAAAGACCTCCATGCTCTAACTTCCTCTCCATAAAGCGTTTTCGGCTAATAATACCCTGCCTCTGCCATTCCTGCACTAGTGCATTATATAATTCCAGCCTCCTAGCTCTTAGGATTCTTGAAAATTGAACCGTATAGTGATACGTTCCTGCTCGCTTCCACTTCTGAAATAGATTCAGATGAGTGTTGAGAACTGTTATGTGGGGATTAATCTGGATTAGACCTTTTAATCTCGAACTGAAATCTTGCTTGTTCTTGTTGTGTGTTGCAGATCCGCAAGCTACTCTTCAGCCAGGTTGTTGCTTGATGCCCTTGATTGTGTAATTGTTTTCACCTATTATGAATCGTCACTCTTATGTCCAGAAACTCGAGGGTTTGATAGACCATTTCACCGATTGTTTGGGGTTGTGTATTTTTTCGTGTTCTCCAAAGAACTTGCTATTAGTAGAGAACTCTGTTGTTTCTATTAGTGTATGCATTAATAAACCGAACGTAAAAGAATGTTTGCGTGGAAGTCAAGTTGCGACTCTTGTGATTGATCCTATTGTATTTACTACATCTCTGCAAGGGTTGATAGAACTTCTCATAACCATGAGTGCAGATTTAGAGGCTCCAAGCGCGGCTACAATAGAAGGTGATGAACTTACATGGCTACCAAATCATTCGATCTCCTCCGATTTCGCCCACAGGCGGAAACTACTACTAATGATGATACATATAGATGAGAGTTATGTCTTTCAGATGATTTGAATGAAGAGTTCAGTATACACTATACAAGATGACTCAGAATCAGAAATCGCTGTCCAAGCTGATAATCAATTGCCAAACCAAATGCCTTTACGTCTTATTAGGGCATGGAATAAGCAGCAGATGATGAAACCACATCCTTGTTTTACACAGGCGTCTTGTAAGCGCTGGAACGATAACACGACCACAAGAGAATAGAGCGCGAGTTTCGTTACAGACATTTTCGATCTGCAACTAATTAAACCCATCACCAACTGAAGAGAGTAGATACTAAATACACAAGAACAACCCCACAACCTCTTTGCACCCACCAAAACCCCACTACTGAGTATTGAGTAAGTACCGAGCAGAGAAATGAATGATGAAGTTGATATGTGAGAAAGGCCAATATTAATATTGTTGACTCCACCATGTACAAGGATGGATGAGTGAAGAAATCTTTCACCCTCCAAACTTAAGGCTACTTGACAGACTGATCTACCCACTGTACTCCATATACCGTTGATCGTAGCGGTTGAAACACGCATTGAAAACTAAGCTTTTACATTTTTGTTGTGGTGCAGAAGGTGACCAGCAAGACGCCTGTTCAGATGATCATAGCAGTAAAGACTCTTGAATGATCAGGTTCTAAAAATCCCATCTGGTGGGGGAGATGAAGTTGAGAGTTAACCTAAAGATATTTCATCATTGAGAAAGAAAGGTGTAATTTTTTAAGCATCATATAGTCGATTTCAAGATCATTATATGCTGTATAGTCCACATCTTCACATTTTAAACATTTTCTTTTAGTCCACATCTTAGGGGAATCGAACTTCTTCAACGTGTAAACGGATGGGGGAATAGAGATTTAATGAATTGTGGAAGAAGTAAGAACTTACAAGCTACAGAGTAGATACCAGAAACCAAAGAAGCAAAGGTCCAAGGTGTCTTCTTGTATTATTCTCTGCATGCTTTGCTTTCCTTGCTCTTTGATTTGATTCTGCCATAGATATCTTTCTCTGTACAACTTTCTGACCACTCGAGTGCATTTGATTTATGTTGTTATTTTAATCAAACACAACCTTTCTTCAAGAACAAGCATCATTTTTCACTAGCTTAGAAAATTCAGCATGGAGATCACCATATGAACAGTTCTCTTTGACCGTCTTTTTCCTCTTTCTCTTCATGCTCAAGAACTGTCATCATCTCTCTGATTAAGGATTTGAAAAAAGAGAAGTTTCCAAGTTTT